CCCCCAGCTGGGCCTGCTCCCCGGGAGCAGGAAAGCCCAGCTTGCAAGCAGCACCCCCATCCTGGCCATAGCTCAAGGGAGAGTACAACATGCAGGTGAGGACAGGAGCATGAGAGATCAACACAGAGGGGCTCCTGCTCCAAGCCTCCATGGTGTGGCTAGGGGCAGGCCCCCAGCCGACACACACACACACACACACACACACACACACACACACACTGCCTGCTCTGAGCCTCCAATGTGGCTGGGGGCAGACCCCCAGCAGACACACACATACACACACACGCGCGCGCGCACGTGCGACGCCTGCTCTGAGCCTCTGCCTCCAGACTGTGGCCATCAGTAGGACATCCACTAAGGGCTCCCCAACTGTGAGAGAAGCAGGCTGCGCTGAGGGAACCCCACCTCCCAGTACATGAATTTTGTGCACTGGGCCTCTAGTCCTATCTAATAAAGAGAAACATGGTAATTAGCCGTACGTCCACTACCCTTCCCATTGGCTAATCGGGGCGATATGCAAATTAACTGTCAGCCAAGATGGCGGCCGGCAGCCAGGCAGCTTGAAGCTAACATGAGACTTACTTGCTTCAGTGATGGAGGAAACCAACGTTCCCCGCCTGCCTTGCTGGCCTCTGAGCTTGCAGTTTGAAACATTGTTACAAATATAGAAGCTAAACAAAACCCCTGAAACCTGCTTTCAGCCAGCCAGGATCTCAGAGCTGGCGTTGATACAGTGTTTTGATTATAGAACCAAAACAAACCAGATACCTGCTTTCAGCAGCAGAGGCCTCAGAGCTGGAGCCAGACCTAAAGCTGGCCCAGCCTGAAAACATCCCTCAACCCCTCACCCAGACTGGCCAGGCACCCCAGTGGGGACCCCCACCCTGAAGGGTGTGTGAACAGCTGCAAACAGCCATCATCCCCTAACCCAGGCTGGCCAGGCACCCCAGCGGGGTCTCCCACCCTGACCAAGGACACCCTTCAGGGCAAACCGGCCAGCCACCACCCATGCACCAGCCCTCTATCCTATATAGTAAAAGGGTAATATGCCTCCCAGCACCAGGATCAGTGGAGCCGAGAGGCCTCCTGGCACCGGGATCAGTGTGACAGGGTGCAGCACCCAAACTTCCTGATCACACTGCGGCTCTGTGTGTGAGAGGGGGACCACAACCTCCCTATACGCCCTGCTCTGTTGGTGACAGGGGAAGGCGCCCCAAACCCCTGAACAGCCCTGCTCTGTGCCTGATGGGGGGAGAGCTCCCCAACCCCCTGATCGCCCTGTGGCTCTGTATTTGACAGGTAATGGCGCCCCAACCCCCCACCACGGGCCCTGCTCTGTGTGTGATGGGGTAGAGCCATAACCTCTCCATCGGCCCTGCCCTGAGTGTGACAGTGACGGCACCCCAACTCCCTGATCGGCCCTGCTCTGTGGGTGATAGAGGGCGGTGCCCCAACTCCCCTATCGGCCCTACTCTGTGAGTGACAGGGGTGAGCTCCCCAACCTCCTGATTGGCCCTGCTCTGTGTGTGACAGGGTACGGAGCCCCAACCCCCCTGATTGGCCCTGCTCTGTGCATGACAGGGGGCAGCACCCCAACCCCCTGATTGGCCCTGCTCTGTGCGTGACGGGGGTGGCGTCGCAACCTCCCCATCGACCCTGCCTTGAGTGTGACAGGGGGCGGTGCCCCAACCCCCCAATCGGCCCTACCCTGAGCATGACTGAGGGTGGCATCGCAACCTCCCGATCCGCCCTGCTCTGTGCATGACAGGGGGTGGTGCCCCAATTCCCCAATTGGCCCTGCTCTGAGCCCGACCAGGGGCTGCACCTAGGGATTGGGCCTGCCCTCTGCCACCGGGGAGCAGGCCTAAGCCAGCAGGTCATTATCTCCTGAGGGGTCCCAGACGGCAACAGGGCACAGGCTGGCCTAGGTACCCCCCTCCCCCCCGAGTGCACAAATTTTTGTGCACCAGGCCTCTAGTGTATATATATATATATATATATATAGATATATAGATATATAGATATATCTATATCTATCTATCTATCTATCTATATATATATTAGAGGCCAAGTGCACAAATTTGTGCACAGGTGAGGTCCGGCTAGCCTGCCCTGATGGATGCCCATTGGCCCGGGCTGCTGGGTGTGAAGGGCCACTGGTGGTTGACCGGCTGGCCCACCCCTGATTGGATTGTTGGGGGCCGAATGGGGGCTGGGTCAGCCGCAGGGGGGCAGGGGGCAATAGGGCTTGGATCAGGCTCGTTGGCTGCAGCAGTGTGTGTCATAGCCAATGATCATCCTGTTCGTTCTGCTCATTCTGCCATTCCAGTTGCTGGGCTTTAGATAGGTAGATAGATAGATAGATAGATAGATAGATAGATAGATAGATAGAAAGATGTCACAGAGCAATATAATTTATTTTGTGGCAGATTGTCTTTTTCAAAGATTACTACAATATTCTTCCTTCTCCTAGATCCTCTTCTATGATGTGACTTTGCCACTCCACTATCAGAAGGAAGCTAATTCATCTCCTTAGTTTGGACACTGAAAGCCCTGCAGCTTGGGGAACCCCTCAGTTTCAGGCCACATGGAACCATTGGTCAACCTGTTTAGGCTCATCCTTGCCCAGACACCAAAAATGTGAGTGAATAATTCTCTAGACAATTAGAGTTGCCATCATTCAAATAGCCACAGCCCTTCAAATCTTCTCACTGAAGCCTCTAACCCAGTGAAGCAGAAAAATGTCATCCTCCTCTGTTCTGTCTAAATTATTGACGCAAAGAACTTATAAGAATCACAAACCAGTTGTTTTATGCCGTTGAGTTTGCAGGACTTTGTTACACAGTAATACATAAGAATGACATTTTAAACTATTTTTAAATTCATTATAAAGAACATTTGTATTTTTCTTTTGTGCCTTCATTTTATTTCAGAACAAATGACTAACAAATTTGAAGATATAGAATATAAATTTAAGAAAAATTAAGGAATTTTACATATATAATGTGGGGAATCAAATAATGATAAAGAGGTCATTTATTCAAGAAGACATAAACATTCTAAATGCACCTAATGACTGAATATCCAAATACATGAGGAAGAAAACATTAGAATTGCAAGGTGAATAGACAAATCCACTCTCATAGTTGTAAAATCCAACACCCCTCTTTCAATAATGACATATCCAGCAGAAAGAAAATCAGTAATGATATAGTTAAACTAAATAAGCGCCATCAATAAACTGGATCCCATTAACATTCATAGGATATGTTATCCAACAATAAAGTAATAAACATTTCTCAAGTTCACATGGAACATTCATCAAAACAAGCCACATATTGTGTCATAGAACTTAACAAATTTAAAAGCATAGAAATCATATTCTTTCCATGTATGTTCATTTCACAATGGTATTAAGAAAGAAATGGCCAAAACCGGTTTGGCTCAGTGGATAGAGCGTCGGTCTGCGGACTGAAAGGTCCTAGGTTCGATTCCGGTCAAGGGCATGTACCTGGGTTGCGGACACATCCCCAGTAGGATATGTGCAGGAGGCGGCTGATCGATGTTTCTCTCTCATCGATGTTTCTAACTCTCTCTCTCTCTCTCCCTTCTTCTCTGTAAAAAATCAATAATATATATATATATATATATATATATATATATGTTCATTTCACAATGGTATTAAGTAAGAAATGAATAACAGATAGCTAGAAAAAAAAGCCTATATTTGGAGGTTAAATGATACATTTCTAAAGAACACCTAGATCAAAAAAAGTATCAACAGAAATTTAAAAATATTTTGAAATAAATAAAATTTTAAAACATAACATTACTATTCATGAGATGAAAGGAAGCAGTGCTTAGATAAAAACTTTAAGAATTAAATGTATACATTACAAAACAAGAAGGACTTCAAATGAAAAGATTAACTTTCGACCATTGGTCACTGCATATTGACAAGTAAGGCTAAATCTAGCATGAATGTAGAGTAGAAATTTATGGAATTGAAAACAGTATGTTAAAGGAGAAAAATCAACAAGAGCTAGTTTTTTAAAAAAATATCAATAAAACTGATAAAACATCACACAAGCTAAACAAAGAAAAAAAGGGAAAAGAGAAAAATTATCAATAGAGAAAATAAAAGATCACTACTACTGATCAGTGATCTTTCCATAGAGAAAGATCATTGCTACTGATTGCATGGAAAATACAATTATGCTAAAAGGGATACCATAAAACTCCAAGGCCGCAAATTTGTTATATGAAATGGATCAATTACTTGACAGGTGCAAGTTACTAAAACTCCCACAAAAAGAATCAGAAAATCTCCACAGGTCTGTTAATATTGAGTACATTGAATCAATAATAAGTAACCTTACAAAAGAAAGAGAAATCACCAGACCCAAATGACTTCAACAGTGTATTCTAACCAACATTTAAAAAATTAATTGTACCAATTTTCCACATTGTATTCCAGAAGACAGAAATAAAGAAATAGATAAGCACTTCTCAATTCATTAAAGGAGGTCAGAATTATCCTATTAGTAAAACCAGATAAAGACATCAGAAGAAAGGGAAAGAACGAGTCAATATCTCTCAAGAATGGAGAAGAAAATACCCTGATATCAGTATTAGCAAATCAAAGCCCATAATTTAAAAAGATAATTATACATAATGGCAAATGGAATTTACTTCTGATTGGCTAGCGTGTTTCATCATGTAAAAATCATTGCATGAAATACAGCAGCATATGGATAGATCTTGTAGAAAAACACATGATCATATTGAAGTAGAAAAAAAAACATTTGACAAAATCCATTACGTTTTTATGATTAAACGCTCATCAATGTATGAATGGAACAGAACTTCCATATATTGATAACATCTATGAAAAACCTATCAGTAACTTTATACTTTTATGACAAAAGGGACATTTAACCTAAGTTCAAGAACAAGGTGAGGATGTCCTCTCTTACCACTCCTGTAATTGTTAACTGAAGCAACCATACAAAAAAAAAAAAAAAAATGGGGAGCCGGGGCCCCCGGGGGCTGCGGCCGCGCCCTCGCCCGCCCCGGCCCAGGCGCGCGTGTTCCGGCCCTTCAGCGCCGAGGACGAGGGCCAGCAGCCCACGGAGATCGAGTCGCTGTGCATGAACTGCTACCGCGACGGCGTGACGCGCCTGCTGCTCACCATGATCCCCTTCTTCAGAGAGGTGATCGTCAGCTGCTTCTCCTGCGAGCACTGCGGCTGGAACAACACGGAGGTGCAGTCGGCGGGCAGGATCCAGGACCAGGGCGTGCGCTACACCCTGACGGTCCGGGCGGCCGAGGACATGAACCGGGAAGTGGTGAAGACAGACTCGGCCACCACAAGGATTCCAGAGTTAGATTTTGAAATTTCTGCCTTCAGCCAGAAGGGAGCTTTGACCACTGTTGAAGGACTGATCAGCCGAGCCATCTCTGGCCTGGAGCAGGGCCAGCCCACTCGAAGGGCAAATGAAGAAGCCGTCGCTGAAAGACTGGATGAGTTCATTGTCAAACTGAAAGAGCTGAAGCAGGTGGCCTCTCCTTTCACCCTGATCATCGATGACCCCTCAGGGAACAGCTTCGTGGAAAACCCGCACGCTCCCCAGAAAGATGACGCCCTAGTGATCACACATTATAACCTGACTCCGCAGCAGGAGGAGATGCTGGGGTTCCAGGCAGAGGCGCCAGAAGAGAAGCCGCAAGAGGAAGATCTCAGAAACGAAGTGCTGCAGTTCAATACAAACTGCCCAGAATGCAATGCTCCAGCTCAGACCAACATGAAACTAGTTCAAATCCCCCACTTTAAGGAGGTTGTCATCATGGCTACCAACTGCGAGTACTGCCGTCATCGGACCAATGAGGTGAAATCTGGAGGCGCAGTAGAGCCCTTGGGCACCAGGATCACACTCCGTATCACAGACCCCTCAGATATGACCAGAGACCTGCTCAAGTCTGAGACGTGCAGTGTGGAAATCCCAGAACTGGAATTTGAGTTGGGAATGGCTATCTTTGGGGGCAAGTTCACCACACTGGAGGGGCTGCTGAAAGACATCCAGGACCTGGTGACCAAGAACCCTTTCACACTGGGTGACAGTTCCAATCCTGGCCAGGTGGACAAACTGCAGGAGTTTAGCCAGAAGTTGGACCAGATCATGGAGGGTAAAATGAAGGCCCACTTTATTATGAATGATCCAGCAGGAAACAGCTACTTGCAGAATGTGTATGCACCTGAAGACGATCCGGAGATGAAGGTGGAACGTTATAAGCGCATGTTTGACCAAAATGAGGAGCTAGGGCTCAATGACATGAAGACGGAGGGCTATGAGACCGGCCTGGCCCCACGGTAGCAGTGGACCGTTTCCCAGCCAACCTCCTGTACTGCTCAGACCACAGGCTTACTTATTACTATTGGAAAAGCGGGGAGTGGCCTCACCTGCTCCTGTGAGGAGGGCATCTGGTCTGAATCAAAGATCCTGGCACACTTTGTAAAGTGTGTGTGGTGCGAGTGCACCCCCGTTGGGTATTTGACCTTATTTCGGAGGTTGTGAGTCAGCTTGGGAAGAGACCTGGAAGCGCACTATGAGGAATGTCACTATCACTTTTTCCCACAAGTCTTCGCCCTCTGTCCACACCGTGCTGCCCTCTAGAGCTGGAACTCTGAAGCTGAGGAAGGTGGAAGACAGCTGCAGCTGGAGTTTAGGTGTTGGTTTTGGGGTGTACAAAATACTGACTCTCCACACAAAGGGAATCTTCCGAGGGAGGGAGTCCAGCACAGGTGAAGAAGTTCTCATTAAAACGATGGCTGTCAAACTGCACTGGCCTGGACTTCACTGTCCTTAATTGATATGCTGGTAGACTCCACCTCCCGAAGAAAATTTTCTCCAGTGCGGCCACTGTAATTTGGAGATGGGAGCTGGCATGTCATTCTTCCTTCACAGATGTGTGAGTGTTCACTTTGTGCCAGGCACACACTGAACAGTGAGCAAAACAAAGTGCTGCTTTCATGAAGCTTGAAGTCTAGTGGGGAAAATTGACATTGGGAGTGGGGGTGGATTGATAATAAACAGATAAGTAAAACAGTAGGTCAAGTGGTGATTAGTGTTATGGAGGGATGTAAAAGCAAAGAAGGGGTTTGGATAGTGTCAGAGAAGGTGGGGTAGTTATTTTAAATAGAGTAGTCAAGGAAGGTCTTAATAAGAAGGTAGAAATTCCACATTCAGGCAAAGCTGAGAAGGAGGTAAGGGAATAAGCCATGTGAATAGCTGGGAGAAGAGATTTCTAGGCAGAGGAAACTGCAAATGCAAAAGCTCTGAGATTGGAAGACGTTGACCAGTTGGGGGTATTTGGGAGCCTCTAGTCCCGCTCTTAACTACAAATGGAGAAACAGGTTCAACCAGAGAGGGAGGGCTGCTTCCAGCTGTGTGACTTGGAACTCCGTGGCCCAGGCCCTGGACTCCCCAGCAAGTGCTCTGTGTCTGCATTAACCACTGATGACTCCTGCAGTGCTGGATGCAAGGTAGTTGTTCAAGAAAGACCTGTGGATTGAAATACTGTGGCAACCCTTAGCATTTTGTGCTGCAAACGTAGCTCGGAAGAATTGCCTTACAGGGAGAAGACTTGGTAGTGCCACTCTGCTCTCGCCGCTCTACTGCACCATTCTCAAAGATCACAGGCGGGATTTTCCACTTGGGAAAATGTTCGCATTTTCCATTTCTGTCACATTGGACAGTGGACCATTTCCCTTCTCAACCCGTCTCTTCTCTCGTGATGCTGCATCCCTGCTTTCCCCTGTACTTTGGACATTCCTTGTGTGGAATCTCTGCCTCCTCCCTCTTAAATGCATTTGTTTACAGAGGTTCAGTTTTCAGACATCTCCATATTGAATGCTTTGGCACCTTAACTACTTCCATGTGGGACTGACTCCCATACATGTAGTTCACATTTCTGTGAGCAAGAGTAAGGTGTTTTAAGAATTTCAAGACTAAAGTTAGCAATGACTCAAACTATAAAGCTACAGCACTTTGAATAGGCTTCTAAGCAAGTGATCTACCCGATTAGATTGCCCATAGATGTATGTCCAACTGACTTGGGGATCTGTGTTCCCCAGGCCGTCTGATTGATCATTTGGTCTCTTGAATGACTTTCCCTATGGGATGGTTATGCTTGAAAGATGGGCCCTGATGTCAGGTTTATTTCCCATTGTGAAGGGGAGAAAGTGGCATTTGGTTTATCACTGTCTTGTGAGTTTGGTGTTAGGCAATCTCACAGATTCCATCCAGTTATGGGGAAAGATAACCTGAGTTTCTGAACCAGGAAAGACTGACTGAGGAGGAGGTACCAGACAGATAACCCAGCTGAGGTACCACTTGCTCTGATGGCCAAGGCCTGGAAGCCTTCAGTTTCACACTCCGCTCCATCCAGTCTCACTATGCAGCCTGATGGGGGTGAGTGTCCTACCCCCCAGCTCTGGCATATGGCATGTGGCTAATCTGTTAAATGATAATTCTCCGCAGACGCTTGCAAATTTTCCATCCTGTATTGAGCCGTGTTAGGTGACTGGAGGTAGCATGGGTAACAGGTATGGGAAGGGTCCTGCTCAAAGGCCCGGGGAGGAGAACAGTCAAACCCCCAGCCCAAGAACATGTAGATTGAGTTTCACAACCATGATAGACGGGGAAGGTAGAGTTCGTTTGTGAGGGCACTTCTACTTCATATTTCAAACATATTAAATATAGCCACATTTAGCCAATAGAGCTGTGAACACAGGTATGGAGTGTACATCTGTCATGACGTGAACATGGAATAAATATGAAGGGCAATTGAAAATTTAAAAAAAAAAAGAAATGCATGCATATTAGCAAGAAATAACTGATTTTATTCATGGAAGACAATATTATTTGAAAGAGAGCTATAACTTTCAATAATATTTATTTAAAATTTTCACGAAGAAAAGAAGGAAACAATGAAATGTGCCCTTTGTTCCCAGTGAGTTTGAAAAATCCTTTCTCTAACAACGAGGCATTAAATCAGGCAGAGGGTAAACATGAGTAACCCAATCCCCTTTGGAACCAATAAGTGAATGCAGAAATCTCACAGAATAGGAAAGACTTGCTTTCATAAAAGAAATATTTACAAGGTCTCAAAAAAAGGATAAAATTAGTTATGACTTTATCAAAATATGCAGAAAAATGGATCCAAAGAACCTACAGAAAGCTGAATCAGAAAACGCATTTTAGCATGTGCATTTCATTTAATCAATAGATTCTAGGCTTACAGAAAAACTTAACAGGAAGTACATAGTTCCCATACACATCCTTAACCCAACAGATTCTATTATTAATATCTTGGATGTATTTTTTATTACAAAGAACATCTATTCTCTCTCTGCAGTGCCACCTCATTCCTTTGTCAATAGTTCATATATACTTGCATTTACTAGTCTATCTAGGTTTTTCATTCCATTTCATTGGTTCCTTACAACTTTGCTATTACTTCAACATGTCAGTGTTAAAAACTTTTTTAAACAGTCAATACCTGTACTATTAATTCAACTGTGTTTTCCTTCTTGCCCCTAAGCACTTTCAAATTGACTTGCTAAGTTTTATAAAATAACAATTTAAAAAACTTCTGGATTGAAAATATAAGTATTCACATATAGACAATTTTTGAGGACATGCTTTGAAAATGCAGCTTTTAATGCATTACATTTGTCCATTTATAAGCTTTCTTTAATGGCTATCAACATTTTATACTTTTCTGCAAATAGGTCATTGTTTTATTTGGTTGTTAAATATTTTCCAAGGCAATTGATATTTTTTTATTTTACTGTAAATTGTTCCCTGGTCAGTTTATGGTATCTAGAACTTCAATTGATTTTTGTAATTTGATTGGATATCCAGAAACCTTGTAAAACTCTCTAATACATTATTTAATAAACGTTTTAAAAACTTTCCATACATCCAAATGTCCAATTTGTTTCATATAATTTTGCAATACAATTTTCTTAAAGTTTTGTTCCTATTATGATCTATGGTTTTCTCTTAATGTTCATTTCAGATTTTGGTGTGGATTTTACAGCCTTATTACATAAACTAGTGGCCCATTGCACGAAGATTTGCGCAATAGGCCTTCCTTCCCCTGGCTGCCGGCACGATTTTCCTCCGGCACCCGGGACCCAGGCCTTTGGCCCGGCCAGAGGAGCAAGGCTTGGCTTCTCTGCTCTGGCTGCTCCCAGCCCCTCCTTTTATTTTATTTTTTTCCCCCCAGCTCCTCCAGCGGAGCCCAGGACAGACTGGAAGCCTGGGTTGCCCCAGGCAACACAGGCCCCCAGCCCCTCCTTGAGCTGACTACAGGGCCGGCGGGAAGCTTGGCTTCCTCCATGGCCAGGAGCAACCCAAGCCTCCTGCTCACTCCAGCCGCCCTGGCTGCCGCCATCTTCAGTTGTTTTCAGTCTTCACTCTGTGCCTACGTATGCAAATTAGCCATCATCTTTGTTGGGTTAATTTGCATAGTTGCTCTGATTGGTAGGTGGGTGTAGCAGAGTGGCAGAGTGATGGAGTGATGGTTAATTTGCATGCTTCTCTTTTATTAGTGTAGATGAGGAAGCATTACTTCCTTTTCCATACTCTGCTATATTTTGTGTAAAAATGAACTTAATTCTCTATTAAAATTTTGATTTAAGTTACTGTTGAAACCAACCATGCCTAAAGTACATTTCTGTTTGTGTTTGTTTAGTGCCTGGGTGTTTTGGTCATCTATGTCTTTTGTTTTATTTTTAGCAAGGGATATGTTTATAAGTTAATTTGTTATATCTGATGGTTGTAGAATTATTCTGATTTTTCTGTTCATTCTAGAGTGTACGGAAATATTTCATCTAAAATTTCAATGTTGGTGTAAAACTTTACATAAATTCTGAATATAATCTTGTTAATATCTGCAGCTATTTTTGAAGTACCTTTTTATTTCTAATATTTATCATCAATTCTTTATCTTAGTTCTAATTTATTTACTTATTTCTTAGTATAGGCAGATATTTTTCAAATAATCTGACATTGAATATTGGCTCTGTTGAGTCTCTGTTGCAAGTTTATTATCTACTTTGTTAATTTATAATTTAATCTATTTTTCTCTTTTTGTATATTCTGTTATTTTTCTAAGAGCTTCATAAAATGTAAGTATACAGGTTATTTTATCATTTGAAACCATATGAGTATATATCACTTGTTAACATGGCATCTCTACACCTAAATAAGTAACTTTGTAATTCCTACAAAGATTTTCTCCTATACAATCATAACATAATTATCAAAACCAATAAAATTGTAGCTATGCATTTAACTAATAAAATATACAGTTCTCATCTAAGTTTCATATGTTGTCCCAACAATGCCCATTATAGCAAAGGCATCTGTTTACAATCATTTCTGGCATGTCTCTTAGTATCCCTCAGTCTAAAACAGT